ATGGAGGAGCAGGAGATGGAGGAGGAGATGGAGGAGGAGATGGAGGAGGAGGAGATGGAGGAGGAGGAGGAGGAGATGGAGGAGGAAATGGAGGAGGAGGAGGAGATGGAGGAAGAGGAGGAAGAGGAGGAGGAGGAAATGGAGGAGCAGAAGATGGAGGAGGAGATGGAGGAGGAGGAGGAAATCATCCCTCTCCCGTCTCTGAGCCTCTTTGCCCTGCTGTCAAGCGTTCCCCAGCTTGGAAGCCCGTGTAGGGTTGCATGAGAAGCGCTTAGCAAAGTTTGCAAAATGAACAAAGCTTTGCCATGCATTCACAATGAGCTGCAGAGCCAGCTGAAGAAACCTGCCAGGCGGGTCTTCTTCAGGGATCAAAGAGTCCCAGGTGTCAGTTCACAAAATCCAGGCACGCCAGGGCTCACCAGAAAATGGGGCAGTGTTGGCATCGAACCCACAACCCTCCCTCCAGGCTGAAATCGTCCCCGCATGACCTGTCTTGCTCAACACCGCATCAGCACTGCAGTATCAACCCAGATGCAGTTTCCTTCCCCGTATTCAACACAGTCAGTTGAACCGATGGATACAGAAGCTGAGTGTGAGAGGGAATTTGCGTGTGCTCCACTCAGGTTTGCCGTCAATGTCCTGAGGCTGCTCTCAACAAATAAAACCTCACTGTTAAATTTTAGTACGCGCCGTCTACGCTGTAGCTAAGATGTGAAGATGAAAGAGACTCTGAAGATTGCCAAGCTCTGAACATCAGAATCTATCCCAACAACTTGCCCCACCCGTAAGCCATGGACTCCTACGTTAATCACCTCCTTCTCCAAGACTGGACAAACCAGAAAAGGCAGCAGAGATGCCTCTGCAGGAATCCTCTTCATCTCCAGCCCGCAGCTTGACATTCACCTGGATCTGGCCACCTCCCGAAAGAACATCTTCAATGCTGTACACACCCTGTGATTCACCTTGTACGTATCCAGTCCTTCTCTCAGTCCCCTCACCAAAATAAAAGTCCCAACCCCAGAGTCTGAGCAACACAATCTGCCATTTCATAGCAAAGATTTCTGGGCATGAGCCCTTCAGACGATTTTAATTTGCAGAAATCTACGAAGGTGGCTACAAAAAAGCATTCAAAATCCGAACCTCGCTGCCTGTCAGACAGATCCAATCCCTAGTAAGCAGCCCCACCAAACAAAAGTCTGTTTCAATTTCATTTTGACCACTGGGATGTAAAAACTAGTTTCCAAGCTGGCTGTGGGGGCTGAACACCTTTCATCCCAGCACTCTGGGAGGCTGAGGCGGGAGGATTGTAAGTTCGAGCCCAGCCTGGCAATTGAGCAACTTAGTAAGACCCTGTATGAAAATAAAACAGAGAAGAAAGGGTTGAGATCAGTGCAGACGCTGTGGGTCCAGTCTCTGCCCACACACACACCACACACACATACCACACACACACACACACACACACACACACACACACACACACACGCTGTTTGTCCTTCTCTTTCTGGCTGTTAGTATCACAGACCAGTGACTCACATCTTAAAAACCCTCGAACATGTGAAGCCAGAAAGGATTCCAATTCCCTCCGGGCTCACTGGTCCTTGAGCCTCGGAGTGGGCACCAGCCCCAGTTCCCTGGGCACGGGGCACCGGAGACCTAAGCAGTACAACGCAGCCGGTTCCTAAGTGCTGTTGGCGAACACTTCTCCCCGCGGAATCCGTCCTCAGCCTCCAAACTGTTCTGTCCTCTGCTGTCCCCCGCTGCCCCCGGTGGTGTGCTCTGTCCTGCCTCCTCCCCAAGCCCGTGTGTGTGGGGATCCCAGCCTGCTACCGCCACACCCAGCTGGAAGGGATTTGTTGGGAGCTCAGAGAGACTCACAGCCACGCCGCATTTCCTCCCACAGCAAGACAACTCTCACCTGGGGCCAGCGTCAGGAGACACAGGAGGCTGAGGCAGGAGAGTCCCCAGTGCGGGTCCATGTCAGGCTTCCGTCTGCAACGCCTGCCCGGAGTCCCAGCCCAGCAGCCGGCCAGACCCGGCCACACGCCCGCCCCGCTTTTGACTGCTGCTTCCAGGCTTGGCAGGAGGGCCGGGCAGGCGTGGAGGTGGAAAGGATGAACAGGGCGGCTCCCAACGCCTACAGCAGCAGAGGGAGTCGGGGCTGGACTGGGGCTGCGCCGCAGCCCGAGCCGTGGCCAGGGGAGGTGCTGGCCAGCGCTGAGCCTCTGGCCTCTCGGGAGGCCTGGAGGATGGGACGGGGCGTGGGCTGCTGACCCGGAGCCAAGGAGCAGCCTGGGGCGCTGGGCGTGGGTGTGGGCGTGGGCGGGAAAGTCTGCCCCGGTGGGGGTGGAGCTGCGGCCCCTGCGGAGTCGGGGGCTCGGGGAACCCCAGGCCCAGCTGCAGTGCAGAGCGGCACAGTGGCAAGGACGCCCAGCTCGGCCAGAGAGGAGCAGACAAACATCCACTGCAGCCTTGGCTTCTGCGGCCACAAACTGACCGCAGAGACCAGCTCTCCACCCAAGGCCTCCGCTCAGCTCCGGAGAGCAGTGCGAGGCACACCCCAAAGAGGGACGGCCAGGGGTGCGAGGGAATTGGACAAAACCGGCTCTCTGTGGCTTTCAGTGCAGCCGCCTTAGAGTTAGAGACCATCCGCGGCCCCGGGCTGCTGAATTTCAGGGTTTCTGCTCCCTCTCCCTGTGTGCCCTATGGAGTGAGTTCACGCAGTCAATCGACAAACATTGCAGGTACACCTGCTCTTCAAGGTCCACCGGGTGCCGGATGCCAGGTGTCCAAGGACAAGGAACAAAAGGGTGTTTACAGAGAAGAGAGGGAGGGCCACGGTACGAAGCCAGACAATGTCACCGGGGGTTTCTGCAGAACATGGGGACGCCGCGAGGGTTGCAGAGGTAGCAGGAAGAGGGCGAGGGAGATGCGGGTGAGAGGCGAGCAGGAACAGGCTGAGCTCTGGAGGCACCGTGCACGGCGGGACTTATGCACCTGAGCTGTGTGCGCCCCCAAACGCACGCGCCGGAGACCTGACGGCCGGGGCTGGGAGGCGAGACATTCGGGAGACATTGGGAGCAGGAGGTGTAGTACGCAGCGCTGTCGGCCAGGCGAGCAGAGGGGACCCGAAGCACGCCTGAGTGAGTGTGCACAGGACTCACGCGTGGGAGCGGACGCGTCCCGGGGGCCTGCGCGATGAGAACTGGGAGATCCGAGCTGTGGGCGGCACTCGGGGTGCAGAGGAGCCAGCCGAAGGCGGAGGTGCAAGGCCCGGAGCTCACGGTGCAGCCGGCGCGTGGAGCTGCCGCCTCGGGAGGCTGAAGAGCCCGCTGTGCGAGGCGGAGCCCACGGTTCCCCTCCACCAGCACGGGGCCCACAGCGGCCTGGGTCCCAGGGGCACGTTTATTTTTTAACATTTTCTCCAGACAGGATCTGCATTAGGACAAAGTGTTTCACTGGGACATCTTCCTGCTCAGAAGGAAAAACTAGGCGCGGTAAAGAGGAACAGAGAAAGCGCGTACGCGGAGGAGCGTGAGGGCCTTCCGGCACCCCCGCAGCCGCCGCCTCCTCCGTGTGAACCCTCCGGGCAGGACGAACGTGGGCCTCTGGCTGCGTCTCCCCTCTCCACCCTGCCAGGGTGGCCCACGCTGTTGATGCTCAGCCTCGGGCCCCAGGCACAGCTTGGCAACACTTGTGTGGCTACACCTGTGTGTGCGCCTGGGGTGTAAGGCGATGTCCCCGGGCATGCGTGTGTGGACGTGCGAATAAACAGCGAAATCATGAGATTTTTGCAGGGAAATAGAAATGGAGACTGTCACATCAGAAGAGATAAGTCAGACTTGGAAAGTCAAATCGAATACTTTTCTCTCATAGAAAGATTCTAAAAAGAATGACAGAGAGAGAGGAGAATGTAATACAATGACAGCATGAAAAGAAAGGAGATCACGTGCAAAGGCCCCGAGTTCGACCCCCAGTATTTCAAATAGATACTATACAGTCCATAAATGCCTCACTGGGCAGCAAGCAGAATAGCAGAAACAGGCTGAGCAGGTGGCGACATTGTGTTGAATCCCTATGCAAAGTGAACAGCTCTACGACGACGGGCATCCATTTACTTATTTACTTACTTACTTGTATTTATTTTTATTTTGAGACCGGTTCTCGCTAAGTCACCGAGTTGCTCAGGCAGGGCCGCAGCCTGGGATCCTCCTGCCTCAGCCTACCAGAGTGCCCGGAGCACGGGTACGCACCACCACCCCAGTCTGCATCTGAATCATTCTGATGCTTATAAAATTGCCAGTGGTATTCACAGAACGTCAAAAAAACCCACCCCAAAACAAAACAAAAAAAGTTGTGTGCACTTTCAAAAATCGTGACCCAGCAGCACCCCAGCGTGCAGAGTCAGCCCCCAGGCGGCCCCGATGAGTCCAGGAGTGACCGTGCACAGTACCTCCCGCTGTGGTTACCAGGGCCCAGGGATGCTGCTCAGGCTCAGGCTGCTGGTCGACCCCTGATGTAGGTGCTGGTGTCGGACGCCTGGCCATGCTGGGTCGTTGTGGGGCGGAGCGTGCAGGGAGTCAGGGTTCCACTGCACACCCCGGGGACAGGCACCTCCAACAGCCATGCATCCCAGGAGCCCTTCAGGTGAGCAGCCAGCATTTCCTCACCGCCCAGCCCACTGGAGAGGAATGAGTGTGAGCAGCAGCCAGTTCAGGATTCTTCTTAGAAGCGTCTGTCTTTTAAATGATGCCAAATTTATTCTAGCTCTCTGGGAGGCTGAGGCAGGAGGATTGCCGGTCTGAGCCTGGTGTGAACAACTTAGTGACTCAGGGAGACCCTGTGTCAAAGCAAAATGCTGGGGATAGGGCTCAGTGGAAAGGCTGGTTTTGTTCACACACACTCGCACACACACACACACGTGCACGCATACACATACAGGTGCATAGCAAGGCACATCAAGCACCCGTGCTTTGCGAGTGAGGCGTCATCGTCACACGGGCAGAGAGTACGTGGATAAAATCTCTCTGGCGCTGGGCAGCAGCACTGACCAGGGACCAGGAGAAACAATCCACCCTGCTCACCAGTCCCGTCACCATGGACACCGAGAGAATGAAGCGGCTGGATCTATTAGAGAGGTGCCGGGCTGCAGGGAGTCTCCACACTCAGGGAAGCATCTGGAGATGGCCGAGGACCTAGACTCACAGGAGCACCCAGAGGTGCAGGGTACTGACATGCAGAGGAGAATCCGCATACAGACACAGCGGGATACAGAGGTGGGGCTGGGTGCAGGGAGAACCTCGTTGCGGGAGTACCTTGATGAAGAAGGGTACCTCGCTGTGGGGAGTATCTCCTTACAGGGAGTGTCCACATTCGGAAGTGTCCAGGACTGGCAGTGTCTAGATACAGGGGAGAATCTGGTGCAAGGGAGTATCTGTGTCCAGGGGGTATCTAGATGCCTGGAGTACCTGAATACAGGGCGTACCTGGGTCGGAGACAACCTGCCCACAGGAGGTATCTGAATGAAGAGGAACATATACAGGGGAGTATCTGATGCAGAAGAGTATCTGTATGGAAGAGAGAATCTGGGTGCAGAGGGAGTATCTAGATACAGAGAATCCCCTGGACTCAGTGACTATCTAGACACGCAGGAGTATCTGGATGTGGGAGTTGCTGGGTCCAGGGGAGTGTCACAGCCCAGAAAAGTATCTTGAGGCAGAGAAGTATCTGGGTGGAAGGACACACCTGTGTCCAGTGAGTATCTAAGGCACGGAGTATCTGAATACAAGGAGCATCTGGATGGAAGAGACAAGCTGGATGCTGCAGATATCTGGGTGCAGGAGCATCTAGTGGTAGGGGAGTACCTGAAGGCAGCGGGTATCTGGTGCAGAGGAGTATCTGTGTGGGAGAGCACATCTGGGTACAGAGCATACCTGGGTGAAGGCAGGCAGTCTCCTGACGCAGAGGAATATACGGAGGGGGAGAAAATATGGGCGGTAGAGCATCTGGATATGGAGGATCATCTGGATTCAGGACTATCTAGAGACAGGGGAGTATCTGAATGTGGCAGAGTATCTGGGTGCGAGGGAGCCCTGGGTGCAGGAGAGCATCTGAATCCGGGGAGTATCTGGCCCTGGAGAGTTTCTGGACGCGTGGAGCATCTGAACACGGGGCGTATCTGCACCGAAGGGAGAATCTGGAGAACCTGGGAGTATCCGGGTGCAGGGGAGAACGTGGATGCCTTCTCGGGGGAGACGCCCAGCCCTGTCTGAGCGGCTGCACAGGAACGAAAACGTACAAATAAGAACTCATCTCTACAGCCTTCCGTAAAGCCCACCCTGCCCGCCAACCCCTTCCCCGGCAAGACGCGTTCATAAAAAGCACCTGGTTTTGGATTTGTCTTTATTAGCCCGCCGTGGAAACCCCAGTGCCGTCACCCAGCGAGAGCAGCACGGAGTGGACACAGGGCAGGTTCCACCCCGCTGTTTCACCCCGGCCAATGCACGGTGCAGGTTTCACAAGCAGGGAATCTGTAAATCGGGGCCGGAGCTGTGCAGGGCCAGGTCCTGGGTCGGGGTTGGGGTCCCGGGTCGGGGCTGCTGTTTGCACAATGCCACAGGAAGCCCCCGCGGGCTCTGGATGGGAAGCTGAGCTCTGCTTGGACAACGCGTCCCCTCCTGCATGGAGCTGCGCACGTGGGCACCCCGGGGCAGCAGAAGGCTCCGGGGACAGGATGGGGCCTCTCCCGGTCCCGCAGGTGACTTGCTGGGGAGACCGAGGCCGTGTCATCGCCTTGCTGCCAACCGCTTGTGGTTGGAGGGCAGCTTCTACTTCTCCAAAAGCGTTTGTTGCACTGTGGGGGTGCAGAGAGGAGAACATGATCCCCGTTTCCCCACTTATCAAATGCACACCCCAAGCATTTACCAAGCGAGGGGTGTCCAGGCGTGGTGAAGGAACGGAAAGTGGATGAAGGAAGGAATTAAAACTAAAATGTGTTCTCTCCACGCACCAACTCCACAAGAGAAATGCAGGCATTGCGTGCTGGACACATGGACTCCTAATCTAAAATAATGAATAAATAAGACGATTTTAAAGAGTCATTTCGAATGCATAACCCAGCAGACACTAACTTCCTCAGAGTTCTAGTTCTAGAACTCCAGTTATTTCAAAATTTCATTTAAACATGCATCTCTGGCCGGGGATTTAGCTCAGTGGTTTCGGCGCCTGCTGCGCAAGCGCAAGGACCCGAGTTCGATCCCTGATACCAAAAAACATAAAAATAAAAATAAAAATGCATCTCTGTTCAACAGGTATTGTAGACACATTGTTACTGTTTTGCTTTGCTTTGCCAGTCTCTAGCGTACCTGGCAGCAGGAGGACTGAACAGAACTTGACAATAAGCTGTATTTCCAAAAAGGGACATTTTTAAGTTCTTAATGCACGCCAGCCTGGGATGATTTCCTACCCACTCGCTGAACACCACTCGGAAGTTTGATGAGCAGAGGCTTAAAGAGTGGATTATGCATAATTTCTACCGAGTGCCTCCAAACACTGATAATTTGAAAGAAAAAAGAAAAAGAGAAATGGCTGAGGATGTAGCTCAGTGCAAAGACCCTGGGTTCCATCCCTAGTACCAGTAAAAACAGTAGCAATAAAAATAACAACAACAATAATAATAATGATCCTGGCTCCCGACAGCCAGAGTCCCCATGCCCTTCTTACCGGGTGGCTCTGTGCTGGTCGTCTGACAATTCTCCAAGTTCACTTCACCTTGTTCTGCTGCAAATGAGAAGAAAATACCCCAATACGGCAGGCAACCCAGCCTCCAATGCCCCCAAACACATTCTGGGTTGGCTGGGTCTAAGGCGATGGTTGGTTGAGTGTCAGGATTCGAATCTGCACCCCCAGACACCGTGTCTGTGTGTGTGTGTGTGTGTGTGTGTGTGTGTGTGTGTGTCCAACACGCACCGCGACACTCACAGGCAACGCCTCGCTGGTGTTCGCCCACCCACGGGGAGACCTCGATCCAGGAGATCCCCAAAGCTTTATTTGCCTTTTTATCACCGGCAGCTGCCTTCTCCTCTTCACCCCAAAATGCTCCAAGCTTGGAACTTTTTGGGCTGGCACGCAGGACGCTCAGAACTTGCGGGGGTATTGAGCCATTTCAGAGCTGGGTTTTTCCTCATGGGTTAAATCGATGCAAATATCCCCACGTGGAAAAAACATTCTGAAAACCCCATGCATTTCTGGTCGCAAGCATTGTACATCACACAAGGGCAGAAGTCTCAGAGGCAAATCAGGGGCATCGCTTGGGGCAAACAAGGGCCTGATTTCCTGGACTCCCCGGGCTCACCCCAAACACACACATGGCATCTCAGATGAGGCCCCAGCCAGAGCCTAGAAAGGTGCTCTCTCTCTGCTACCTTAATGGTCGTTTTCTTTCCTTATTTTGGGGTGCAGGGAGGAGAGAGGGTCTCACTGTGTAGCCCAGGCTGACTTCGAACTCATGGCAATCCTCCTGCCTCTGCCTCCCCAGTTGCTGGAATTACAAGTGGGCACCACCACACCCAGCTGTTACTGAGTATCCCTGGGCTGAAGTTATCCTGCCTCTGCCTTCCTACTCACTGGCCCCCGAATGTTGACTTTGGAACAGGGACAAAAAACACAAACCACTGAGAACTTCGCTGCTCATCAGAAGATGGAGCACACAGCCAGAGATGACCCCAGCCCACCCGTTCATTCCTCCTGTGTTTCTCTGCAGTCTGTCTCATTGCTATCTCTAAATTTCTATTAATTTTTCCAAACATGCCTCTATGAGGATATCACTGTCCCCTCTGTGATGGTTTACATCTAAATGTCACCCTAACCCTCATGCGATCCTATGGAAGATCTCCGGAAGGGGACTGGATATTGGGGGACTGTAGCTGACCTGCTGTTAGGGGCTGGGGCCTGCTTGAAGAGGTGGCTCATTGAGGGGATTTGACCCGGAAGTGTTCATCTTCTTCCTTCCTGGCTCCTCCCATCTCTCTCTGCTTCCTGGACTCCACGCTCATCAGCCATGGTGTTCCTGCTTGGAGCAGCTGACCATGGACTGAACCCTCTGAGACCACTGGAGCAGCCAACTGTGGACTGAACCCTCTGAGACCATTAGAGCAGCTGACCATGGACTGAACCCTCTGAGACCACTGGAGCAGCCAACCATGGACTGAACCCTCTGAGACCATGAGAACCATGAGTCAGTCTCTGTCTCTGTCTGTCTCCCCTTCCTGGTCACCATGATGTGAGCATCTTTCCTCCTCCATGCCTGTCCACCATGCCATGATGTTCCTGCCTTGGAGCAGCCAACCAGGGACTGAACCTTCTACAAACTGCGAGCAAAATAAACCCTTCTTCCTGTGAGATGGGGCTGTTGGCTAATCTGTCTCAGCAATGAAGAAAACGAGTAAAGCATCCCTCAAATGTCCTCAGTTTACCCTCTCTTCCCACTACGTGGCACACCAGCAGAATCCAAAATGCACAAGACACTCACAGATGAAATGTATTTATTTCTTTTCTGCATTGTTGTAAATGAACACAAGAGCCTCAGCAGGAAAGAAAACTCCTCCCCCTCACTACCAAGCTCATCACGTAGAGGCAATCTGTCTCCCTTGTGCGCTCAACTTTAATGGTCACAAAACTGCAAGGTCTGTGGTTAAAATGTCTTGAAGAAATGTATACAGTGCAGAGCATAAAAGTTTACTTATGGGACTAGAAAAAGCATTGTACTGAGTATTAAAAGAATACAATGATCCGCAACGACCTTCCCGAGCCACTAAATGATACCCGTGTTAAGAAGCCAACGTTGTTAGATAGATGAGAGATACATGGATGCATACATGAATAGACAGGTGATAGAAACATAGATGGATAGATAGATAGACAGACAGACAGATATGGACAAGATTGATAGATGATGCATGGAGAGGTAGATGGGTGAACAGATAGATACACAGACAAATCATACAGGTAGGTGGATGAAGGGAAACAGGTGAATACATAGATAGAACTATCCATTGAGAGTGGGGATAGGTAGGTGGATGGAAGGAGGGATGCATGGATGCATACACAGACGGACAGAAAGATGGACAGGGTTGGATACATGGGGCACTAAATAGATTTTACAGATAGGTGGGTGGGTAGATGAAGGGTGTGTGAATCCACGGAGAGCTGCATGTATATGCAGATACAGGAGTGCATAAATGGATGGATAGGTAGACTATATGGACAGGGAGACAGACAGACAGATGGACAGATAAAGAGAAATACTCCAAGAAGGGAACATCCAGAGAGCCATGTCAACATGTTAAGAGGGCTGACCACGATGGCCCATCGTGCTGCCTGCAGGGGAGGGGGTACGTTGTTCCCATGGGACACATTTTATAGGCAATTATCGGGGGACTGGCTTCTCAACTTGCCCTCACTTCAGAAGACAATCGTTTCTCCCCACCAAAAAAAAGCAGCACAAATCTTCTAACTGGGCCGTGAACTCCAGATTTAAGGGGTAAACACACTAAAGGGAGAAAAACAGTCCATTGGAAATCACTGAGTATAAGGGGGCCATTTGGGGCTAAAGTTCCTACACCACGGACCCCTGAAGGGGAGAAGAGATTCCCCGGGGGGAACTGTCCACCGCACTCCGGTCGGCTTGGGGCTCAAAACTTGAAAGATCAGTTGGCGGGATGACACACACCTGTATCCCAGCACTCAGGAGGCTGAGGCAGGAGGATCGCTGTAAGTCTGAGGCCAGCCTGGGCTACAGAGCGAGATCCTGCCTCAAAAAACAAAAAACAAAAAACCCTCAAAAGACCAAGCACAGGGCCTCTGAAAAATTCAACTTAGGTGGGCTGGGGAGAACAACTGCCAAACGTGCACAAGGCCACGTATCCGACCCGCAGGATGGCAAAAAAGAAAAGAAAAGGAAAGAAAAGACAAGAAAAGAGAAAAGAAAAGAAGAAACAACGCATTTCCGTGATTTTCTTTCGCTGTTAGAACAAGCCCCAGAGCCACGCTGCCTCCAGGCGCCTCGGAGGGAGAGGGCACGCGTTTACTGGGCACCGCGTGTCCCAGCTCGGAGCAAGGAAAGCCCTTCTGACGGCCTGGAGGACACAGAAGCAAAGCGAAGCAGGCCAGTGAGCCGAGCAGGCAGGGGCAGAAGGACACAGGTGCCGCCGGCCGCGGAACCCGATGCACGCACTGCGGACGACCCTCAAGCACCGAGGCCGGGAGTCGGGAGCCAGCCCTGCGAGCGAGCGAGCTCCGCTGGCCCTTTCTGGCCATGCATGCATCGAACCGTTTGGGAAAAGCAGGGAGAGAAGATCAGAAGCCGCTGCTCCGTAGGGAACGAGTGAGAAGTGGCTCCTAAAAACTCAAGGTGAGCAAGCACAGGGTTAAGGACAAGACGCTCCCCGGGGTTCGGAGCCTCGGACCCGAACTCGGCCTGGCCTGGGACACCTCGAGTCCGTGGAAGCCACGCGCCCCGAGTTTCTCAGGAGGATGTGCACTGCTGTTAGTTTTCTGGAGCTTCCTGAATTCTGCCTATCACGGAGGGGAAAGCCAGCTGGGGGGTGCACACCCTCCGCCATCCTAGCTGCTCTCAGGAGGCTGAGGCAGGAGGATCGCAAGATTGAGCCCAGCCCGGGCAATTCAGCAAATCAGCAAGAGCCTGTCCCAGGAAGGAGGGAGGGAGGGAGGGAGGGAGGGACCGAGGAGGGGCCGAGGGGCTGCTCGGCGTGGCTCGGGACAGGAACCTGGCGGCCGGGGCTCCGGACACTGACAGCCTAGGTGTGCACGGCATCTGGAAAGGGCAGACAAAGGACAAGGAGTGAGAAAGGCCGGGCGGGAGGAGTCCAGGGCAGGAGCGGCGGCCGGGGTCAGGGGGCAAGGGTCAGAGGGGAGAGGTCGCCCGGGAAGGAGGCAGAAGGCGAGGGGCGCAGGGAGGGAGACCAAGGGAAAGCATGCCGAAGGAAGGAAAAGGGGAGGGGAAATGGAGGGAAAAGGGTGGAAGGCAGAGGGGCCACGCAGGCAGCAGGGGAGGCTGCAGAGGCTGCAGGGCCGGGCAGGACCCGAGCCCGGACGGCGGGGATGCACGGACGCACAGATGCAGGCACAGACGCACGCACTCACGCATGCACTCGCGCACCGACAGTGGCACAGAAGCCACGGCCAGCAGCAGGGGCGACAGACACTCGGCCTCGATGCCCAGCGGGGATGCACGGACGCACGCACGGATGCACGCACGGACGCACGCACGGCCAGCGGCGGGGAAGCCACGGACAGCAGCAGGCGCGAAGACGCTCGGCCTCGATACCGGCGGGGACGCAAGTTTCGGGGCCCTGGGCCAGGAGATGGCGACCCTCGCTTCTCCCGCCCTCTTTCTAGCTTCCCTTTCTTCCTTCTGTCCTTCCTTCCCTTTCCCTTTCTTCCTTCAATCCTTGCTGGGTCACTTTTTCCCTTCCTTCCCTTCCCACGCCCCCCCCCCCCCCGGCTCCGCGCAAGGAGCGAGGAAACCCCAAATCCGGCCGGCAGCTCGAGGGCAAGCAGAGAGGGCGTCTTCCGGCAGGACGCGACTCCTCCAGCAACCCTTCCAGTCGGCTTCCTGCTAACCACGTCTTACTTTCCTCGCTGCTATTCTCCAGTGCTTTCTGCACATCTACAGAGAGCCTAGATGGTGACGCCCGCTCCCCACAAAACCAGGAGCCACCCCAAGATCAGAGGGTAAAAACCTGCGGAAAATTTGCGGCTAAAAGGACCGGGCTAAGAATCCCTGCCATCGCACGGACAGGAGGTTTGCAAATTCGGAAAATCACACCGGACTTCTCTCCACGAAGCCCCCACCTCCTACGGATGCTGCGTCCCCCAGAGCAGGCGGGTGCAGGCGGAAACGACTGTTTCTGCCCTTGCTGCATCGCTAGCTCCAAACTTCTGGTGAACCCAAGCCTCCTCCGACTCTTGACTTCATCGCAGTGTGGGTCCAGAGCACTCAGAAAGCCCTCGTGAGGTAACGTAAGACCCTGGAATCAATTTGGCTTAACTAAGGATTTGCACAACACTGTTTCCAACGTTGGTGTGGTGGTGCCCTCCTGTCATCCCAGCACTCTGGAGGCTGAGGCAGGAGGATCTCTGTGTCTGAGGCCAGCTTGGGCTACATACTGAGGTCAAGGCCAGCCTGAACCATAGAACGAGGCACTGCTTCAAACAAAACAAATCTGTCTTCCCTGGCGTGCTTCCCAGTCTCCCAGCATCTCCTAGATCCCTCAGAAAGCCGAGTCTGAGATCAATACGGTCCAAGTATGAACACAGACTTAAGCTCACGAGGAGCTGTGTGCACCAGGGCACGGCTACAACGTGGACTTCAGCAAACATGAAGAGTCTGGGTTCGGGGTGTTTGCGCCAGACAACAGGGCTCCACACTGGGGAGCCACAAAAGAATCCAGACAAGACCGAAGAGACCAGTGGGGAGATGGGTGAGCATCACATCCGCTGTGCTCACAAGACCAGGGTGCCCTGACTCCTGGAAACCCCCAATTAACAGGGGACCTTCGGAACATGAGGCGCCTGAGGTCCCGCACACAGAGCCAGGCCCACAAACTTGTCACTCTCTGAGTTCCTTCTTCAGTTCTGTATCTCATGCAAGAAGCTACTCAGTCCCGGCTGGTATTCTCCGCTACCAGGAAAGGGAAATCTGCCTACCTGGGTTTTTATCTTAATTCTCCCGGGTGGAGAGAACAAAATAGAGATCTCTCATCCTAAGGACATAGATTGTCAGTTTATAGTAACAATGACTGGCTTGCAAAAGGTAGTATCTCCTGCACTCCCTCTCTGCTAGCGGATTTCCAGGCTTTTCATCTCGACAGATATCCTACAACATAGATGCACTGATCAAAAAATATGGTGGATGTTTAAATTACAAATCTTACAGTAAAACACACGCTGTCACGAATCCCCTCAAATTCCCCCCCGGCCGTGCACACCCTCCTCCCGCCGTCCTGGCCGCTGTCCGCAGCAGCTCTGGAGTCCTCCTTCCTGGGGGTCTTTAGCTGCGCCATCCCGGCTGCCTCGATGTCCCGAGTGGACTCAGAACGGTGACCTTTCCCGGTCATCCTGACCTTGGGGAGGAGCCGGGAGTCGCCCGGTGCCAGCTGCGGTGACTCGGGTGGAGGAGGACACAGCGTCGTGTGTTTCCGAGCTGCCTTTCCGCTGGACGGCGCCCGGCAGAGCAGTCACCGTGTTGGTGACCACACCTGATGAAGCCCTCGGCAAAGAGGACCCCAGAGCTGCTGCGGGACGCGGCCAGGACTCTGGGAGGAGAGCGTGCACCGCCCGGGAGGATTCTGGGGCATACGGGGGCATGTGTCCCTTCAGCCTAAAAATCTTTCTCAACCAGAGCCCGCCGGGTACTGTCACTCACACTTCCCCTCGGGCCCTCATCCCCCGGGTGTGGAGGGGAAACCCCGTGCTGCAGAAGGCAGTAACCGGCTAAAGTCTACGCAACGCAACACGGCAAAGCACCGCTTGGCCGGAAGCCAGAAGCGCAGACTCGACCCGGGGGCTCAGTGGCTTCGGGAGCTGTTCGCCGTGGCGCTTGAGACACGCTGCCACTTTTTAAGGAAAGCACAATGCTCAGCCTGCCGGGCACAGAAAGCGACGCGGCTCACCGTTTTCTCTGAAGCACCACTTCTTCCTCTGGTATGCGACAAAGCTGGAGATCGCTCCAGCCACGGCCACCACGACGGCCCCGATGATGCCGGGAATCACACCTTGGGGCTGCTCTGCACGGATCACGGGAGCCACAGTCAGACCCAGGGCCGGGGCTGGGCCAGGCAGCGGCTGCAGCACGCGTGTTGGAGGATCTGTCCCCAACCGAGAGGCCCAACTGCAAGCGGCCTCTGAGAAGGGTCTCGGTTTCAGCGAAGCTCGCTGCATCTTGGCACTGCCAGCCGTGGGCTTCCCCACTGATTCCTTCCCCGATGCCTTTGCGGCACTAGGGACTGAACGCAGGGCCTTCGCAAGGAACGACACCCCCAGCGCCTCCCCTTTCTGCTTTTCCATTTCCCACGGTGAGAAGGGACCTCTCAGAGTTGTTCAGGCTGGGCTTGAACATGTCACCCTCCTGCCTCAGCCTCCCAGAGCGCTGGGATGACAGGTGTGCATCACCACAGCTGGCTTCTATTTTACAGTTAATAAAAGGAATTTCTTAAAACATTCTTCTCTAGTGCTTCAGAAAAAGAGAAAGGTCCCATGTGACACATGAGCAAAAGGACTGATATCCTTCATGCAGGGATAGAAAGCTTCCCCATACACTGAGCATAGCTCATGACAGCTCATTATATAAGAACTGCAAGAGAGTAGGACTCAGTGTATATTTTAAACAACACATTTTCCTTATCCAGTCTCCACTTGATGGGCAATTGCACTGCTTCCAAGCTTTAGCTATTACAAACTGTGCCGCTATAAACATGGGTGAGCATATATCACTGTGGTATGATTCTTTTAATTCTTTGGGGAAGATCCCCGGCAGGGGAATAGCTGGGTCAAACGGGACTTCTAGTCCTAGTTCTTTGAGGTATCTCCACACTGATTTTCACATAATAGATAATGTGAAATAGGAAGAAAAGGGGTAAAGGTAAAGGGGAAGTGGGAGGAGTAGAGGAAAGGAAAGAAGGGAAAGGAAAAAATATGAGAAAAGGAAAAAATGGAAACAAAGCCTTTGTAAATAGGGAGGGGTGGAGGGGGTGAAGGGAGGGCAGGGGAAAGGGGAAAAATAAGAACCAAGATACGTCATGTAAAGGTACAGATGCCAGTGATGAACATCATTATACTGTATACCTAAAATGTACCAATAAACTTAATTTTAAAGAAAATTAATAACATTAAAATGTAAATCAATAAAATATGGACATATTCTAAACAAAAACAAAGAGAAAGAACTGGAAGACAGAACTTCAGGGTTCCCAGCACAAGGAAATCACGAACACTTAAGGACAAGGAAAGGCTAACTTCCCCGAGGCGATCCTGGCTCAGCACATGTAGGTACTGAATTATTACTCTGCACCCCGTGACATGTGCAATTACTACCTGTCAACTAAATAAATTAAATATACACAGGTATAATTATTTCTTTTTTGGCTAACAGAAAAAGTGGCCAAGCCAGCTGGCGGCACCTGCTTCCCTTCTACGTGTTGGACAGACAACATCTCCAGCGATTGCACCCGAGCATGTGTGACATGGAGGCCACAAAGCAATGGCCATGTTCCCATCGCTTCCCTTCCCTACCCTTCTCTTTCTTCTCTTTGCAGTGCTGGGCAGGGGACACAGCACCTCCCACACCCTGGGAAAGGGCTCTAGCACCAAGCTCCCAATCAACCAGACCCATCACAGAGGTCTCCCCAGTGGAATTCCACCTCCAGCTCAACAGCATGCGGGAGAGATACAAACAAAGATGGCGGCCACCACCCACAATACACCCGCAAACATACCATCTTGGCTCTCTCCCTCCTTCCTGGGGCTCCCACCACCATGTCCGTCTCTACTTCCTGCAAGACAAGACCAAGACCGTTGACCAATGGCACCGTGAAGATTTCTGTTGGGAAAGACAAATTACATAGCAAGGGTCTGCAGGAAGATACACCAACAGGATGGACATGAGTGGATGAAGCTATTCCAATCTCCACGGGTTGACCCGCTGCAGTCTGGGGCTTCGATGACCCTCCAAGCTCACGTGTTGGTGGCCCAGGCCCCAGCCCATGGTGTCACGGAGGGAGGCAGTGGAACCTTTAAGGGGTGTGGCCTAGTGGGAGGAAGTGATGTCACTGTGGGCGTGGCCTCAGCGGCTATATTGGGACCCCAATATCATCCTCTTCCTCTTTCTCTTTTTCTCACTTCCTGGCCAGGAGTTGGGAGGTTTTTATTTTACCCTTCATTCTCTCCAACATGTGCTGCTTCACACTGGCCACTAGTCATGGACAGAAACTTCCAAGACCATGAGCCAAAGTATACCTTTTCACAAGCTGACCATCTCAGGCATTGCTAGAGACAGGAAGTAGACTAACACAGCATCCCCTCCGATTGCTGACTGCGTGTTCCCCAACTTTGTCCTGTCACTACCCACGGCAGCACCAGACCAGATCCCCCTTGGGTCCCCTGCAGTGTGGTAATGACCCAGGCACTTCCTGAGGGGCATCGGGGAGTTGGTCTCCTGTCTCGGTCATGGGGAAGATGGCAGATGTCATGGAGCTCACCGAGCCCTTGCCTGAGGCTAAAAACTGTTCCAAGTACAACCTGAAGACAGCATGGCATTACCAGACCTACCTGCCCATCTCCTAAGTTGGCCACCAGCGAGATGCAAGGCACCGGACCTTTACCTCTGGGGCCTGCCCATGAGCACTGTCCCCATAGCTAAAAGACACAGGATCACAGCTTCTTTTGGTTTCTTCTTGTGTTGAACACCAGCATAGGAAGACAGGATTTGCAATGCTGTGTCCTTAACAACAGACTTCTGCAGGGCCCAGTGCAGGGATTCACCATGTGGACCATAATACTGTGTGACTTTCAGGGAGTTTGTTTGCACAATGTCCACCAGTCAGCTTCTGGGTCACCGTTCTGTCTACACCGGGTTTGCATGTTACGCAGCTGCGCTGCTTCTGTACTGCCTGTTACACTAAATGGGAGCATGAATCAGGAGATGCCTGAGGTCAGCCAATGTAGCAGAAAACTTCCATCCCTCCATATTCAGGAGCCTCCTGAATCCTTCCGTCTTCTCTCAGGGAGCCAGCTATGCTTTCTGTATCCTTGAAAGTCCCTACAAATGACTGAGCTACCTAGGAGACATTCACGCATTGAATTGTGGTCTGGTGCAGGAATGAGGGTGTAGACCCCATGGTCTCATAGAGCTGACGGTGGCCATTCCCAACAGGTGGATGTATTAAAGGACGGGCAGAATAAAAACAGAAGGGATTACGCTACCTTCTCCGCCTGCCACATCCTTCAGGTCAGAATCTGAAAATCCACCTACAAAAGAAAAATACAGCATGACTGGCCATTCTGGAACCGCTGGAGGGGTGGGGATTCTGCAAGTCTCCATGTGAAGGAAAAATTCCATTCGAATCACACATAGATGGGGACAGACACAACTGTGGTACTTCGTTATGGAAGATACAACCACAAGCTGAGCGTCCTTAATCTAAAAACCCGAAATCCAGAGTGCTGCAAAGTCTGAAACGTTTTGTGTGACAACGTGGAACCACAAGTAATGGGTCACAACCAAAACATAGGCACACCAAAAAATATTGCACACAATGACCCACAGGTTATGGGTCCAAGGTGTGTGTGAGACACATGCAAACTTCACGTCCAGACGTGGCTCTCATTCCCAAGAAACCCCACTGTGTGCACAAATACTCCAGAGTTTAAGACAAAATTCAAATACGAAAAACATCTGGTCACCCGCCTTTCAGAGAAGAGATACACAACCTGTAAAACTAATTCTCCTGTTGTTCCAAAACTCATAAATTTAGTTTTACCAAAAGCTCTCAAATAACCCTGGGAAAGAGAACACAAAAAGGAACTGAAAATATACAGTGATTTTTCTGATGAGTGCAATTAGAAGCCTAGATCATTAAGTCCAAACCAGAGCCATTAGAAATAATAGGCTGGAAGTGTTTTGTTATGCAGCAGTAGCTAGCTGATAAACATCAAAATAATCTATCAGTTTACATTTTAGTATATGTGCTGCCGAAGCAAGCACAAATCTCTCAATTTATCATCACCTGTCATGCCTAAGTAGAGTCTACTCGCAAAAAAGCAAGGAGCTATTTCATGGAAATTCAGCCTTTTATATAACCTGTCCACATTTGTGAATAAAAAGTAAAACAATGAGATGGCCATCTTTATTGATGACCTCCATCCCCCTGATGAAACATATTTTTTTTCCTGCTTGAGAAAGTGAATTAGAATACAAAGATACTTTAGTATTTAGTGGTGCACGCTTGTAATCTCATCACTCTGGGAGGCTGAGACAGGAGTATCTCAAGTTCAAGCCCGCAATGTAATGATTTTGCAAGGCCTGATGTCAAAATAAAAAATACAACAAAACAAACAAAAAAGGCTCGGGATGTAGTTCAGGGAGAAGGCCTTATGTACTGATCTAAAAGAAAAGAGAGAGAGAGAAAAGAAAGAAAGATCTGGCCAAGTTCCTGATCTGCCTTTTTTTAAAAAGAGAATTTCTTTTGTGTAAAAATGAATCTCTTTGGTCTTTGCCTTAAATTCAGGAATGAAAAACACCCCTCCCTGCTCGGCCCTAAGTTTTCTAGCTAAACCAAGACAACAAAAATACGACTACATTGTAAAGAGAAAATGTAAATATGGGCAAGGAGGAAACTTTTAAAAAATTGTGTGTAATGCGATTATCTCTTCAGAAAAGCTAAGAAATGAAGAGAAACCCAAAAGAATTTAATGCATGTTCCTCCTGAGGATGGACATTGGGGAAAACGTATAAAAAGCCCTTCCATATTAAAGTAATAAACATGTTGAACATTAAAAAAAAAATACTCAGATAAATAAAAGCAGCAGAATAAATAGCTTGGAAATATGTATAAAGAAATGAGCAGAACAGAAAATGGTTTTTGTCAAGATGTCCATAACCTGTAAATCAATTCACAATTGTAAACAACTTCAGTGAAAATAGAAAACAAGATTTTATTATTTTCCCCAAAGTGAGAAGAAAATCAACCACACAATGATTCACTAGTTAAAAGGAGAAAAATAAAAACCACACAGAAAAGAAATGTAGAAAAGCCACCCAAGCATAAGACGACTCACTGAAGGAACAACTGCAAGCGTCTCTGGTCAAAAAAGTATTGTTTCAGATTTTCAAAAGAGAGAATAAAGTGGGAAAGCATTTTTGTAACAAATGGCCGGCATGGTTTGTATCCATGCACTGATGTACCAAAATGTCTTGTGTAATTCTTTTTCTTTTTTGTTGTGAGACAGGGCCTCCCTGTGTAATTCAGGCTGGGCTTGAGCTCATCATGTAGCCTGGGCTGGGCTCGAACTTGACATGGTCCTCCTGCCTCAGCCTCCTGAGCACTGGGATGACCGGCGTGCACCACAGCGCTTGGCTGTTTTGTTTTGTTAATTTTAATTTCTGAGCTGAAGATAGGATACCAAGATAATCACGACTTAATCCGTAGGCACTATTGGACGAAGGTTTTCTAAGACAACCTAACCACCGTTGGAACTCACCAGAAGAAAAGAATACCCACCTACCTACACAGCAGGAGGTAGACGAACTGGAACAATTTGGAGAGAATTTGGAAGAAAAATCTAAGACTATGAAGGTAGTTGTAGGCACACAAAATCTACCTGCCTACTTCCTGTCATCTCTCTTTTATTCTGCTCTTTATTTATTCTTTGGTTTTCTCATAGAAGAGAAGCCATGAAATCCTTAAGCTTTTGTGACTGATTTATTGCACTTAGCGAGCGTCCTGGTCTCCAGGTGCATCCATTTTCCTACAAAGGACTCAAGTTTATCCTTCTTCGTGGCAGAGTAGTACTCCACGGTGTGTAAACACCACTTTTTCCTTATTCACTCATCTCTTGAGGGACACAGAGGCTGCTTCCAAGATGTAGCTATTGTGAGTTGTGCTGCCATAAACACGGATGTGCGTAGATCCCTGTGATATGATGCCTTTAACTCTTTTAGGAAAATACTCAAAAGAGGTGTAGCTGAGTAAGAAGGTGGCTTAAATTTGCTTTGTAATTTCCAATCTTAAGGGCCGGGGATGTAGCTCAGTGGTTTCGCCGCCTGCTGTGCAAGCGCAAGGACCCGAGTTCGATCCCCAGTACCAAAACAAAACAAAACAAAATTTCCAATTTGAAAATATCACAGAAATCATAGCATTTTCACTGTTAAAGACAGACCCCGCAGCAGAGCAGGTCACACTACGTACGCGGCATACGATGACCATTAAAAGTCACATGGCACATACCCCAGTGGCACAAGGGAGTGTGCACTGGCAAGCGAAATACACAACGACAACATGAACAAAACACTGATGTTTTTACCCGGGTGTGGTGGTGCACACCCGTCATCCCAGCACTCGGGAGGCTGAGGCAGGAGGATCTCCACAAGTTTAAGACCAGCCTGGGCTACACAGTCAGTTCAGAGCCAGACTGAACTACAAGGTGAGACTCTGTCTCAAAAAAAAAAAAAAAAAAAGGAGGAAGTAGATAAATGTAGGAGCGAATGGAGATAGTGACTCTCCTGACCTGATCAGTATACAACACAGACAGCTATCAAAAGCCCACTCCTAGGGCTGGGGATTTAGCTCAATGGCACCACACCTGCCTCACAAGTGCAAGGTCCTGAGTTCAATCCCTGGTACAGAACAAAACAAAACAAAACTCCACTCTATACCCCAAATCGTGTACAATTACTCTGGGTCTATCATAAATACAAATATACTTGACAATGTCCACACACTGTAGAAAACACTGATACTTTTTTGTTAAAACTGCAGCAAACACGTAAACAGCAGAGTCCTCAAACTCTGAAGTTTGAGCCCTCATTCGGGAGAGAAAAGAGTGTGTGTTGAATGACAGTGTGACGCATCCGAAGGCCATCTGAAGCACTGCCAGCAAACGGGCTGAAAAGCCGAAGTAGGTCCTGCGTAGGTCCCAGGATTTCTCCACCTCACCTGTGCGTTTGAGTCTCGCATTTCCATTTCCATCAAGGTTCCATCAAGTCTTCCAAGGCAAATGGGTAAGCGGACAATCCAAGGTGAACCCCCCCCAACACGCACACACGCACACACAAAAGCATCACTCTGCAAATGGGCCTCCCACAACCTGCAGGTGGGGTGATCGACCGGGACAGTCACCAGCAAGCGCGTGTGCGTCTGCACAGGACCTCAGCAGAACCTGGGTGTCGTGGATTCTGGAAATGCCAAGTGACCCACGGGCTCGGGGCTGCACTCACCAGAGGATCCTGGCTGGTCCGGCTTCGGATTGGGCTTTGGCTGGGGCCGTTTAGGTGGTGCTGGGTCAGCTGTTTGTGAACAGAAAAGGGCTTCAGCGGGAGGGGGCGGTCGGTTTGCCATTCAGAACGGAAAACATCAGTTTCCAGGCGGGTGCTCGGTTCTTCCTCAGGGTGGCCCTGCTCAGCCACCTGCCAGTTCCTTCCACCACCTCCCGACCGCAGCAGTCCTTAACGTCGAGCGCTTTCCACAGATGCTACAGCAGGCATCCAAAGCAGCCACAAAAGGTACGGGGTCTGGGGTAACAGGAAATGGCAAAACCCACGGAACAAACTGGATGGAGAATTTCAAGATGGAGGCAGCCGTGGCTGAAGGTAACGTGGCAGCCCGTGTGGAAGCCACGCGGACCACACCGAGAAGCCAGCCCTGCCGAGCACGCTCCCCACTGCCTTCCACCGCGCCAGGGGCCCTAAGAGCCCTGAAATAAAACCAGGCACGCTGGTAGAAGGCAAAGAAGAATGAATCAACACCAAAAATCCCAAGAGCAATCGCCACCACTGAGATCCCACTGGTCTCCGCGACAGACATTTCCACTGAACAAAAGATGAGCTGTTTTTAGGAACCATCAAAGATCGGGGCCACGAGGAGTGTTAAGAGATACTCACGGTCTCCTCCGCCGCCGAGAGCGTCTTCTAAGGAAAAGTCACCCCCTGAAAGAGCAAAACGGGTGGTCAACACCAAATATTTTGTGAAAAAGAGAAGGGAAGGGGCTTGTGACAGACAGCAGGACAATCCAGGGTCCCCTCAACCCCGATGGCCTTTCTGAATGTGGCCCGGCTGGCATCTCCTCAGAAAAGCCAAATCTCTGACCACTTTTAGGTCATCTTTCTCTCTGATGAAAAGCGTAAGAGACCAAAAACAACAAGAACATTCACGAATCAGTTGTATCACCCACAGCAAGTTGGAATTCCCACGTGCTCAAAGATAATCTTTTCCATTGATTCCCCGTCTTATTATAATCCCGTGCCCAGGTCAACCACAAATCTGAGATCCGCAAGAGGTGGCGGAAAATTATGCTAAGATTTGGGTTCCACGGCACCAAAAATAATTGGTTATACATTCAGCCAGCAGGAGGCGCTACACTACTGTGAGTTGCATGTAGAAATACACAGCTCTGCCCAATATTTCAGAGAATGAGTTCAAGTTTTCAGCAAGTACTTGTCAAGCAATACAATGGACCCTCAAGTTACAGCCGGCCTGACATACAAACAGCTTGGGTTGCAACTAGAATTTTAGTTTTAACTTACAACCAAAGTCTTGAGTTACGACCCAAATGCTGGCCACTTGTGCTTCCAGATGGTCTCAGATACAGACAACCCTAAAGAGCTCTGGAAGGAACAGGACAGTGTCCTCTCCCGTGTGGGGTTCACTGAGAAATCCTGGGCCAGCGTCTCTCTAAGGACGCTGAGCTCTGCCTGTGTGCAGGAGAGAGACTCTGAAGGCTGTGTGGAGAAGCTGAGCCTTCACTGACTAACTTGAGTTACAACCAGCCCTTGGGAACGGATTAAGTTCGTAAGTCAGGGGTCCACTCTACTTGTGTGCACAATCAGGTCATCATTCAAAGATGCTGCGTTCAAGCAGGAGCGAGAGACGCCATCCTTGGCGTCACAAGAGGAACCATCAGTGGCAGAGCCTCATGACTAACTAGAGCAATTACCTCTCTAGGCAGTGAGGCTGTGAGGACGCAGACAGTGCTGAGGTTAACTTTTTGCCTGCAAACTACTTCACACATTTCAGACGTGTCACTTGGACAGCTCCATTACGCGCCCCTATTCCCAACTTCAAACTGATTGCCTTGCGTGATATTGGGAGGTCAGTAAAGCACGTTTTGGGGGGAGTGTCTGGGTGGGTCACGTGGAGCAGCCGCCCAGGGACTGAACCCTCGAGACCATGAACCTAGAAACCTGTCCTCCTTTAAGTCGCATGTGCCAAAAATGCTGTACCAGCATCGGAAAGGGGAGCACAGCAGTACATCAACATGGACAACAAACTGTAGAATGACATAGAAGTTTCCACACAGATTCTATGGGGTTTGGTGGGGGTCTCAGTTGCAAATACTGTTTTCCTCCCAGAAAATGAACATGCCATCACAGCATGATGGGGAGAGTCTCAAAACAATCCAAAAGTATTTCTCAAAACCACCATCATCCATTTTGGGGGGCGGAGGGCCCTGGTCCCCAGCAGAGAGTGCTGATTTTACAGCACAGTTCACATGTTGCCCTCGGCCATTCCTGCTGTCCATGTCATCTCCTGACCCCAACTCTTTCTTTCATAGAAGATGGGGCAGGCCAGCGTGATTTCTTCTCTCTCTGTAACAGCCGGGGAGCCGGGTTCTTACCACCAGGGGGCTTCTTCGGGGCTGCCGTGGTTTTCTTGCCTTCGTCTGAAGAGAAAAGACGATTTGGTCAGGAAAAGTCGGCCTGGTCAGGAAAAGTCGGCCAGGTGGCCGGCCTGAGAAGGGAAATGCAGAGCAGCAGGGGGCGAGGCCCAGCCCGCCCCGGCCCACAGGCAGCACCTGTTTCCACCGTCGGCCCCAGGCGGATCGCCGGGCGAAACCCCACCCCTGAGCTCAGTGTTTCGGCTCAGAGGCCTGTGCACCAGAGCCCAGACACCTCTAAAAAGCAACATTGCAGGCGAGGAGTGAAGAGCATCGCCCGAAATGCGCGTCCTCCCAGAACCTCGGAGCGCGAGCTCATATGCAGCAGGGGAGGTAGAGGGAGGTAGAGGAGGATCTGGAAATGAGACCGTCCTGCCTCAGCCTCCTGAACCCAACGGCAGCATCCTCATGAGAGACAGAGGAGGAGACACAGACACAGAGGAGAAGCCTCGTGGAGACGGAGGCAGAGGCGGGAGCAACGGGGCGCAGCCCAGGGCCGCCTGCAGCCCTTAGAGGAGGAGACAGAGGTGGGAGGGTCTCCCCGGAGCCGGTGGAGGGAGCTGAATACGACTGCACGGATGGCAGGTAAGCATGTTTAAAATGAGTATATGGGCTTATGGTCATATGTCTTTTACTGCAATAATTTTTAGAAATATTTTAAAATTCACCGCATGTTTTGATCACACCTGACGTGTCCTACATTCAGGGAAAAGTGCCCCCAGGTATTTTTTTAAAGTCCTAAATCATTACTCACCGAGTGCATCTGATAAATCGAAATTGCCCTCTAAAAGGGAAGAAAAGAGAGCCAAGTTAGAAACAAGGCAAATATAAGCGAATTTAAAAACATCTGAGGATGAAAAGGCCTATTTTATTCTGGTTTTGCGAGGTGCGTAGCTCTCTGAAATCCACCATGTGAGATGATTTCGATTCTCTTTCTGAATATGCATGTCCACACCTTAAATTAAGATACTAGGTCTAAAGAAACCAGGTCCCCAAGCACTTAGACTTCTCATACATAGGAGGAGGAAAAACCACAGTAAATAAAGGCTTCCTCTATATTAGCGACTTTTCCGAAAAGCCAAACCCACTTTTTAGAGAAACGTTAAAGAACCCCACAAAACACATTACATATTTTAAGGGAGGAAAACTCTCGTGGAAACCCACAGGACGAGGAATCTGTCACCACCCAGCGTCTTCTCTCCTGGTCTTTCATCATCAGGACAAATGCAGCCTCATGTTTGGAGTCGTTTACGTGCACAGCAGTGTGTGGCTTACTTGGCATGAGTTTGTGGGCAGAGGAGGGGTGTGTGTGTGTATCCACATATGTAGGTGTATGTGGTTGTGTGTGCACGTGGAGTGTGGGGTGTCTCCATGGATGTCCGTGGTTGTGTGTGTTACCTGTGTGTGTATGAGGTTGGCGTGTGCATGTGCAGGTATGGAGGCGTGTAGCATGTGCACATCATAGCTGCAAATGGTGTGCAGCGTGTGCACTGTGCATTGGTACCTGCACATGATGGCTGTGTGTGAATGGTGTGTGTCTATGCACAAACGTGCAGCTGTGTATGTGTGTCGTCCTGTGTAGCAGTCTGCACACGGCGATGCATGTGGCATGTGCATGCGCATCTGCGCCCGTGAACGGTGGCGTGTGTACGTTCTGTGAGGAGCTACGTGCGGTGTGGCTGGTGTTCGTGTCCACCTGTAAGTGTGCTTGGTAGTGCGTGTGTTCATTACTCGTGCATTACGCATATGGTAGTTTGTGTGTGGGTAAAAGATGTATGATGGTCTGACATGTGTGCCCATGCGTAAGTGTGTGGTAGTGTGTGTGCATCCATGTAACCAGGTAGGTGTGGTCTGGTGTGCACAGCTGTGCCGTGTGACTTGTGTGACTGCATTACTTGTGGGTTTGTGTGTGTGTGTGTCTAAGTATGCAGAGGTACCCGGCTGGGTTTGTGTGCCTGGCTGTTCTGTGTGCAGATGCATGTGCATGTACGTGTGTGTGTGTGTGTGTGTGTGTGTTTGAGGCTGTCTCGGTGTGCTCACACTGAACTCCAGGCCCAGTGCTCACTGCATATTCATCACCCACCTTGACCCCAGAAAACACCTGCCCGGCCCTGTGCAGCAACAGGCTGCACATTGTTCCCCACCCCGAGACTCTGTACCCTTCCTCCCTATGTGGGGCTTCTCTCTATGGGAAGAACTTTTTACAATTCCACATTGGCATGCCATGGTGCAGTATGTGTCTTTCTGTGCCTAGTTCATGTCACTTAGCATAACGTCCTTCAGTTCCTTCCATGTTGTACCAAAGGACGGGGTTTCTTTCTTTTTGAAGGCTGCATCGTATTCCATGATGCACATTCACCATATATTTTTAAAATTCGTTCATCTGCTGATGGACCCGCGTTTGTTCCCACATCTTGGCTGTTCACAGCACTGAAAGGAACAGGGGCCCATAGATGTCTGCTGGACACAGTGATTTCATTTCCTTTAGATCCACACCCAGGAGAAACAGCTACATCAGTCGCAGCAGTTTCCAGCCACTCCATTATCTGTTCACCCCACAGGCAGGATTACTGGGAGTCTGGCTAATGCTCACTTTCCCTAGAGGCAGAGATGCAATCTCTAGACCCTGGGAACATCCACACAATGCGTGGATCACATCTTCCAGAGGAGAAAAGGAGACTCAGAAAAATAAGCAGTGAAGCCTGGCGGCAGATGCCTGTAAGCCCAGCTCTCTGGGAGGCTGTGGCAGGAGGATCACAATTCAAGCCCAGCCTGGGCAACTGAGTGGCTCAGGGAGACCCTGTCTCAACATTTAAAAAAAAAATTAAAAAGGGCTGGGGATGCAGCTCCGTGTGAAAGCCTTAGATCCAAACTTCAGTACCACAACGAAGTTAATAAAGTAATAAAGTAACATAAGAGAAAGACAGACCCAGAAATGAGCTTCAACCCCAACTATGACAAAAAAGAAAGGGAAAAAAAAGAAAAAGGAAAGAGAACTGGAAAAGACCTTCAGACTGCCACGCACATACACACACACACACACACACACACACACACACACACACAGCACCAATGAGGAAAACGGTGCCCTGCTGCAAAAACTACAGACGTTTGCACGGCTGCCTTCTAATTCCCGCCCTTTCACCTCAGAATAGGACAGGAAATAACGAAGTTAGGTGGTACACGTGCACCCAGTTCCGCAAGGGCCTCCCCGCCCCATGGCCCCTACCTGTTAGTAATTAAGGAAAGAGGCATGCGGTCGCTAAGGAAACCCAACAGGGCCGGGCCCAGGATGCAGTGCGGCTCCCTGCACCGGGCCAGAGTCCCGGCCTGGCCTCCTCCCGGGGACCGCAGGGAGCTGCCGGCCACGCACACGTTCGACCCCTGCGTGGGTGCAGGGTGCGCCTTGTGCAGTCCTGAGTGTGCGTGCGTGTGCACATGTCACTGTATCCGCAGGCACGCCTGCGTGCACACGGTTGCTGGCGTGGGCATGCATGGCAGAGTCGTCCCGGGGGTGTTCAGTGTGCACACGAGTGGACTTGCAAAATGTGCGAGGGCCTTGCCTTCATTTGCACGTGTGAGTGTGGGTGTGAGCGCATTCAGCCGTGGATATGCGTGTGTTCGGGCACACGCACATATGAATGTGCGCCTGTACAATACATGTGGTTGCACAAATGTGTGCGCACGCCTGTGCCACTCAGCTGAGCACACTCCTGGTTAGCGCTCCCACACGCGCGTGCGCATGTGCACGCCGAGCATCTCCATGCACCTGCACAAGGCTCATGTGCCTGCTTTGCATCATGTACGTGTGCTCGTACACCCCTGCGCACATCCGAGCTTACACACCTGTGTGTGACTGTGTTCATGTGAGCAGTGCTGTGATCAGCTACACAGATGCCTGCGTGCAGTCCCATGCAGGGCCTGTGTGATTTGCATGGATGTGGGGAACTGCACGGCACCCCCCCCCCCCGTCCTGCCCCTCTGCCGAGCTAGGACGGTGACCGATGTCACCACCCCCAGGTCCCCCCAGCCAGCCCAGGGCCCACCACCCCCCGCCCTGGCCCAGGCTCAGCGCAGGGGATTCGCAGCCAGGGCTGAGGGCAGAAGAAAAGGGAGACTGACACCCCCGTCCACGCCGGGACCCGGGGGACCGCTCCGTCCATGCTGTCATCTCACTGGGCCCTGGACCCCGCATCTCAGCAGCCTCCAAAGTCCCCAGAATGATCCCTTCCATCACCTTCTGCCCGTCAGATTCCTGGAAAACCCAAGTCCTGAGCACCTAGGGGCTCTCCCTAGGCTGGAGAGAGAGGGAGGGAGAGAGGGAGGAGCCGAGACCCGCTGAACCCAGGGCAACCCCAGCTGTGCCCTTCTTCCCGCGTGTGCAAAACCCACTGGGGAACCACCAGGAACCGCAGCCGCCTGGAATGCCACATAATTACAGTGAACCCTCGAGTTACGACCAGCCCGACATGCGAACAACTCGGGTGAGTCAGGTTCAGGGACGACTCATCTCCCTCTTGTCACCTCTAGCGCGTGCCCAGATAAACACGCAGACCTCAGCTGTACTGGCGCACAACCAACTTGGGCTATAACTTGGGCAGAGCTGCGTTTGCACAGCCAGCAGCCGGCCCGGGGTTCCTGCTTTGGCACTGCTGCAGGATGCACGGAAACCAGGCCGCAGCCCTCGGCCCTCAGGGGACTCGGGGTGACTCACAGGGCGTGGTGCACAGTGACTCAGCCCCGGCCCTTCGGCAGGCAGGCAGATGTCTTCGATCTCTACCAGCGACCTCTGCCGTCCGCCCGGGATCGCGGTGGGGTTTGCATTCCTCAGCCAGGTTCAGCGCTTTTCTGTGCACGTGTGGCCATCTGCGGAAGGCAAACTGGACGATCGCTGCGGAAACCAGTCCGGGGCTTCCTCGGAAAACTGAACCAGAGATTCCACTTGACCCAGCTGTCCTCCTTCTAGGTGTCTTCCCGAAAGTAAGACGTCATAGTACAGCGACCCATCCACACCCGTGTGTCCAGCAGCACAACTCAGAACAGCTAAGCCGTGGAAGCAGCCTGTATGTCCATTAGCAGACACATGGACGGAGAAAGTGTGGTGTTTACTACACCCAGTGGAGTACTACTCTGCCCTGAAGAAGGATAAGCTTACATCGTGCCTAGGAAACTGGATGCACCTCAAGGCCATAATGTCAATGAACTAAATCAGACACACAAGCTTCAATACCGCACGGTTGCTCTTACATGAGAAACACAAAGTGTAAATAAAGATCGCAGTAAAAGATACACGATAGGAAGAAGGGAGACAGATCTTTTGCAAATGGGGAGCCGGTCAAGACATGGGGGAGGGGCGAAAGGCGAGGGAAGGGGCGCAGCTGGGTCCTGTGCGCGCCCCGACGCCACGCACGCAGGAACGTGAGCTTAATGCGCCGCGGACGCTGAGTCGGAAAAAGAAAAGGAAAGAAGCGTGAAGTCTCGGACAGCACGCGGGGCAGGGTGCCCGGGAATGGGGAACCCCGCTTCCACGTCTCCCACACTCCGCACCCCGAAAGCTGCCCGGAAGGAGGCAGAGGCTTGGCTTCTCTTGAGCCCCGGCCGGACGACACGGCCGCTTCCCCGGCAGGGAGCGCCAGGTGGTCAGCAGGCGCCTGGGACGTCGTGGACACAGGGCACGGCTGGATTTCTGGACCCACGGGTTCCACAGCCGCAAAACTCAGCCAACCTCGGGTCCAAACTACTTGCAAACAGGGCCCCGTCGACAGTTTGGGGGGCTGGGCGCGGCGGAGCTACCAGGAGGCTGAGGCAGGAGGCTCCCAGGTTCAAGCCCTCCCGTGGCGACTCAGCAGGACCCCGGGTTTTCAGCATAAGTAAGAAGAGCTGGGTGTGCAGCTCCGGGGTACAGCAGTGGCCCAGCAGGCCCGGGACCCTGGCCTGAGTCCCAGATTAACAAGAAGCGGCGTCCACGGCGGACGGGGCAGACTTCTCTCGCCTGCGCCTTCGTGGCTCCAACAGCACAGGGGCGACCCCGGGGAGGCGCGGAGCCCGGGCCGCCCCGCCTGCCTCTCACCTCTCTCCCGCGTTGCTCTTCGCTGACACTTCGTGATTCCCACAGGAGAGAAACCACGCGACACGGAAGCGCGTGTGTCTGATTTATTTCACTTCACGGCACGGTCTCGAGGTGCAGCCATTTCCCCACACGCGGCTCGAGTTTATCCTGCTTCATGGCGCAGTAGCATCGCGACATGAAATAATTACAAACGCCCAGACCCTTCTACGCCGTAGGTGGGGTGGAAACCGTACAACCAGCACGGAGATCGGGCTGCAGACTGCGGCAAACACCAGACTGGAACGCACGCCTGTAGTCCCAGCACTCAGGAGGCTGAGGCAGGAGGATCGCCGTGCGTTCGAGGCCAGCCTGGCCAGCCAGCTTGGGTTCAAGGCCAGACTGGACCACATAGCGAGACCCGGTCCCAAAACAAAATAAAACAAAACAAAGCAAAAAAAGAAAAGAAAAAAAACTAAACCAGAAAGTCCATCTGACCCAGCTGTTCCCCTTCTAAGCATCTTCCTGGAAGAGTGAAAGCCATCCTATCACGGTGACCCGTGCACACCCATGTGTACAGCAGCACAACTCACAACAGCTCCATCAGGAACCAGCCTCTGTGTCCATCAGCAGATGAATGGACAAAGAAAGCGTAGTGTTTACCCAGTGGAGTACTACTCTGCCGTGAAGAAGGACAAACTTGAGTCATGCGTAGGAAAACGGATGCACCTCAAGACCACAATGGTAAGTGAACTGAATCAGGCGCACGAGCTTCCATATCGAGTGGGTTAGCGCGTGTGAGAAACGCAAAGTGTAAATAAAGAGCAAAGTAAAAGACCATAGGAAGGAGGGGCCGGGCAGAAAAAGAAAAAGCAGAAAGCAGCTTTGTCCTGTGTCCGCCCCAACTGCACACAAGGAGCACGACCACACCACCGTGGACTGCAAACATGGACTCCAAAGTTGTTTTTTGTTTTTAATTAAAAGAAAAAAGACACGTGCTCAGAGCCAGGTAGGAGAAGAAACAAACAGGATCTGCAGAAGCTAAAGCAGCAGGGGTGGAGAGAGGCTTTGGGAAGGGGCGTATCATAAAAGGCCAGGGTGAAGGAGGGGACTGGGACTAAGGAGAAAGTCTCTGGGGTCCTCAGGAGATGCAGTGTTTGAGATGCGACCGGAGGAGAACAGGACGCAGATACCTCAAGGAGGAACTGGGGACAGGCAGGGAAGAAAGGTTCGGCAGGGCAGGAGGAGGGGGAGGGAGCCGCTGTCCACCATCACAAGGAGCAGCAACGAAAACCACAGCAGCTCAGCTCCATCCCAGCCCGTTGCTCATCTTTCACCTGAAGACAGGGTCGAACTAAGTTGCCCAGGCTGGGCTCCCACTTGTGATCCTCGTGCCTCAGCCTTCTTGGCCAACTCCAGCCCCGTGCGGAGCAAATCACAGCGGCCAGAGAGCAGCTGAGCCCGGCGGACAGGGAAGGACAAGGGAGTGTCTGGCTTCCTCTTGGGGGCCGCGTCAGCAGCTTGGCTGCAGGGCCCACTGGGCGGGCGGGAGGCCTGCATGACTCATCCTAAGGGCAGTGGAAACTCCGGCACACACCCACGTGGGCATCACACCCCGGCGAGGCCCAGGCAGAGGAAATCCCTGAACAGGAAGTGGCTGGTCCTGGAGACCTGAAGAAGATAGTGCTAATCGCACAACTGCAGACTTGGGGTTCCTCTGCAACCGTCACCTAGGAGACGGGCACAGCCCAAAAGACCACAGGAAAGTAAAAAAGATCGGTCGGGGGCAGGGCGGCTGGGCACGCCAGGCATCCCAGCACTCGGAGGCTGAGACAGGAGGATCTCTGTGACTTCAAGGCCAGCCTGGGCTACACTGTGAGACCCTATCTGAACAAACAAACAAACAAATCAACAAGAAGACACTTGGCCAGAGTGACGAGTTACAGGGCTTGGGAGGCGGGGTTCCTGGCAATGCGTCTTTTGCTGCCCTCACTATTTGTTAAGTTAAACATTCGCCACCTAATGTGAGCACCGGATGAGAGAGCCACTGTTTATGCGTCCGGACTCGTGAATTCCAGGGCACACAGAAAATGTGCCTCCGGCTTTGGGATTTTGTCTTGCAAAGTGAACAGACACCCGCTAAAAGCCACAGGCTGAAAAGGGGGGAAATCCCCAAACACACATAGGTTAACTGGATTCTTCTTTAAACTAATAAAAGGCGGCAAACTAGGTTCTGTTTGAACTCAGAGGAGGAGACGCCCCACCAACCGTGTGCGTGTGTGTTTGGACAATTATTTTGTTTTTGTTTTTTGTTCGAGGGGGTTGGGGGTGTTTCAACTTGGGTTTTTTGAGACAGGGTCTCACCGAGTCCTTAACTTACCCCTGCTGGGCTAGAACCTGGGATCCTCCTGCCTCTGCCCCTGAGCAAGGGGATGACAGGCCTGAGGTGCCACACCCAGCTCTGCCTTCTTTTTGCTTTACATGTGTGTTTAATTAGCCACGCACCGTGGTGCAGACCTGTCTTCCCAGCACCCTGGGAGGCTGACGCAGGAGGATTCTAGCCCAGGCCGGGCCACTTAGGGAGACCCGGTCTCAAAACTGAAAAATAAGCAGGGCTGGGGACGGAGCTCAGTGTGGAGGCCCTGGGTTCAATCCCCGGTGTCTCTGCTGCTCTGCCCTCCCCCATCCCTCTCACCGGCCTGCAGCAGTTGCCCGATCTCCGCAGGATGCTTCAGCCCCCGCCCAGTCTGAATAACCAACCGCCTTGGGACACTGCGCCAGCCGGAACCTGGCACGCACCTTCCCTTTTGTTGGGGAATCTTCAAATTCCTGTCTACTGCCTCGGTTCCCAGGGCTGGACCCATGACCAGCCACAGTCACCGGCTGGGACTAGAAGCGATTCCTCCTCTCCCCCTTCCATCTCGCCATCACTTTTGCAAAAGCTCTCTCTCTCCCACCTCCTATCATTTTTCTTTTATTTTGCTCTGTAATTTATTTACACTTTGGGTTTCTCCTATAAGAGAAACCAGGCGATACGGGAGCTCGAGTGTCTGACTTATCTCGCTTAGCAGCAGTCTCAGGCCTGCCTCCGTTTTCCTACTCGTGACTCAAGCTCGTCCTTGTTTAGGGCAGAGTAGTACTCTGGGCTCTCCTCATATGACAGGAACATTTTCAGTTCCTGCGCGGGGCCCATGCTGTGCAGTCCTGGCCCTGCTGTGTGTGGCTCATTTCCTGCACCACGGCCCCCTCCAGTTCCACCCCGCCCCACAGCAACCTTTCTGCCCCACCCAACAGCTTCTACCAAAGCCTTTTGTGGGGCTCAGGAAAAACCCCACCTATGATCAAAAAACACCTCGTTAGCAACTGGATTCGTCTGAGCTGATTACGGTGGGAGACCCCCCCCATGCGGCTAATGTCACCACCTCCAGTTCAGAAAATGCTTCTCAGACGGGTGGCACACGCCTGTCACCCCGCACTCCAGGAGGCTGAGGCAGGAGGACCCCTGCGGAGGCTAGCCCAGCTTGAGTAACTGAGCGACTTAGCAAGCCCATGTGTCCAAATAAAAAAATAAAAAGGGCTCAGGGCAGAGCTCGGCGCAAAGGCCCTGGGTGCCGTCCCAGTGCCACAAAAATAAAAACGTAATAAATAAGCAAGTGTGAAAATGCATCCTGCAGCGGGGATCTTTACGCAGACCAGCGGCTCACACACGATGACGTGTTTTAGTATCTCCGGAGTGCCCGGGCTTCCCCAGTACAGGAAGGAGAAAGAACGGAACCACGAGGTAAAGGAAAGGAAATCAGCAGGAACGGCCTCAGGTATGGCTGTTCAATTTGATCCACCGGGTGGAGGTGGAACAGACGGGCAGGGAGCTCATAACGGGGTTCAGGGTGTGCAGGAGCCAGGCTGGACCCCCAGGCTCCGCATCCGCCCTTTAGTTCTCGGGACTCCCACGCCAGGCCGGGGGTTCCTGGCCTCCAGGGGTCTCCAAGCCCGGGCCCCCGCAGGGACCCCAAATCCCAGCCTGGGACCCCAAAACTGTGACTGCAGCCCTGTCTCAGGAAGAAAGCCGGTCTGTGATTTCGGGGTGGGGGGGCGGGTTAATCATTTCCGAGCAGGCAGACGGCGAGGAAGAAGACCCCAGGACGCGGGGCTCCCGGTGCGGCCTCCCCGGCAAAATGCAAACTCGGGCAATTTCTCCTCCGAGACCAAGCGACCCTTTGTTGTTGTTGTTTTTCCCCCTGAAGTTCGCCAACAGGAGCACGATTTCTGCAAAACCCGAAGTGCAAACAAAGAGCTAAAAACAGACAGACAACAGGACAGAGAAAGGTAGGTTTTGAGCCAGAGAGACCGAGACAGGGAGGGAGAGGCGAGGGCCGGAAAAGGAAACGAAGCCGTGTGCCAGGGTAGAGGAATGCAAACTGCAAACTGAAAAAAACAGGTAAAAGCAAGCTCAGCTCCGGGCGCACCTGAGACTGAGACGCTGGGCTGGCGGGGCTTAGCAGTTCCACCGGATATTACCGGGCGGGACCCGGGCGGGACCCTGGCCCGGCCTAGGCTGGGCTCCCGCGGTAAGAGGAGTCCTGAGGCTCCAACTGGGCCTGCTCTTCCCTGCCAGACCCCCGGCCGGGCTCGCTGCTTTTTCTTTCTTTCTCTTTTTTTATTATTTTTATTTTTTAGCTAAAAAAGCCTGGCCCGGGGCTGCACGCGGGCCTGAAAGCGAAGCACTCTGGGAGGCTGAGGCCGGAGAGTCGAACACAAGTCCCCAACCTGGGCGACTGAGCCGTTTAGCCGGATCTGCTCTCAGAATAAACAAAAAGAGGCTGGAGACATAGCGCACCGCGCGAGCCCTGGGTTCAACCCTGAGTACTACAAAAACGAACAAAAATAAACAGAAACTGAAAGACGCTGTGGAAAGAAACAAGAAAAAATCATTCTGCTCTCTGCGGGACGTGCGGGGAAGGAGCAGGGGGGTTCCCCGTCCTCGGACTTTTCCGGTGTTTACCCAATTATCTATGGCAACGGCGGGAAAGCTCGATCCCCTCCCCCCACCCCGAGCGCGCCCGGGACTGCGCGCTACAAAGTATCTTTCCAGATACAAAGTATCTTTGCACGTACAAAGTATCTTTCGCGCTCCGCAGGCCTTGCAGTTTCCCAGCCTTCCAGCCCCGGCGAGCTACAAAGTATCTTTCTCGGCCGCGCAGGCCTGGAAGTTTCCCCAGGGATCCCACCCCTTCAGCTTAGGCCTTTAACCCCCCGGGGACGACTCCAAATTTAGGCCCGAGACTCAGGGCGTGGCTCGGGGCCCCGGGCGCCCCGGGCAACAATGGCGCGCGCGGGTCCCCAAACCCAGCCTGGGGAGCGCGCCAGAGTTGGCGGCGACGGAAAACGGGTCCGAGAGAGGAGGGGATCGGAGGCCGGCGCCGAGCCCAGAGCTCCCCCAGAAGGGCTTGGAGCGCAGGAAAAACGCGCCGACATGTCGCACCGGGAATGGATCCAGACCGTGGCCGGGACGCAGTTGGCTTGGGTACGACATTCCCGCCCCTCCTCCCCGTTAGATCTGGGCGCGGAATCCCGGGAAGGGCCCGGGGGCCCAGCGTGCGCCCCTCTTCAGAGTCTGGGATCCCCGGCCGCGAGCCCCTCCCCGGGGTCTGGGGGCCCCGCCCGCGCGCCCCCCCCCAGTCTACCCCCACCTCTAGCGCTCACCGTCCTGCGTGCGCACCAGGGCTCCTAGGAGACCCGCGAAGAGCAGCGCGAGGGCGGCCCGGCGCGCCATGGTGGCCCGGGCCGGGGAGGGTGGGTCTGTCGGGTTGGTCCAGTGAGCCCTGCACCCGGGCGGCGGCGGCCAAGAGGGAGGGCGGGAGGGAGCTGAGAGGGAGGAGCACGAGGATCCCCACTCCACACCCCTGGGGGGGGCGGCACAGCCTTGGGCACGGCCTTCGGTGCTGCCTGCTTTCGCGGCCCTGCTGAGACCGCCCCGCCTCGGCCTCGGAGCGCTCGGAACGCAAGGGTCGCAGGGGCCGCGGGTCTCCCTCCAGGTGGGAGCGCCGACACCCTCCTTCTTTGGGAAGTTTCTTAGTCCTTCCTCGCTCCCAAGAGGGACCCAGAGGCCAATAAAGCCCTGTCCATGGTTTTTCTCATTCGGTCCCCAAAAGGATGCCCTAGCCCCGAAGCACCCCGTTTGCAGCGAGGTGCGCCCGCCTCCTTCTTCGGGAAGTGAGCCCCTCCCGTGTGTCCGAGCTGCCCTCCCCGCTGGCCCGGAGGAACCGGGACCCCCCGACTGTCCCCCACTTCCAGCTAATGAAACCCCAGCTTGGAGGAAGGGGCGGCCCCCCCCCGCCCCAGGCTCTCTGGGGTCCCCGAGCTGAGAGTTTGCAGAAAGGGCTGGGGGATTTGGTCCCCCCCCCCCCCCCGGTTCTTCGCAAAACCAAAGCGCCGCCCCGGAGAGGCCGCTTGGAGGGGAAATGCGGGCTGAGAAATTTCCCTGAGTCACCCAGCTCTCAGTCCTGTAGTCTTTTAGCCAATTCCTACGCTGCAGGTGTCCTGGGCTGCTCCCTGCCGCCTGCAGCTGCTGGCTCCCGTCTCCCGTCTGCCCCGCCCACCTGCGTCCCTGGGTCACAGTCTTGGGGAGCCATGAAGGGTGTTGGGCCACAGACAACAGGAGGACTTCTGAGATCCTTGTGGGGCAAGCAGATGCTGGAGCTCTGGCAGCCAGTTTGGCACCATGAGGTAAATAAGCTAAGGCAGCCTCATGGCGGATGTCTGTAGATGAAAGACAACGGGAGGCTCACACCCACCTCAAACGCCAAAGATCTTTCCTGTGACCTCTCCAGTTCTTTTACTTTCCCTTCCAGAGAAAGGCTGTACTCGGCCAGTGTACGGTGTCCCTTACAGCATCTTTCCCCACTCTCCACTCTGTTCCAGAAGTCTGGAGCCTGGGATCTGGCACCTTCTCTCCCTGAGTTCACAGGCTGCTGCCCTCAGCTGTATTAAAAACACATTCCTGCTGTGCAAACGCCAGCTCCCTGACGCTCTTATTTCTGTTCACAGAGAGGCACTGTGAAGCCACCTAAGGCCAACCCATTCACACCTGCCTTTGGCTTTCTCTTTTTCTTAAGTGCATAGGCTTCCTCAGCTCGAAAACAAAGCAGCACCCTCCAGTGCTGCAGACATGGTTTAATGAGTGTCCAGGGGCTCCGGTTTCTATCGAGAGCCATTCCGTATAATTGAGGGGGGGAAACATTTCATAATTAAATTGTGCACAGGGCTCGTCTGAAGCTGCTTTCTTGCCTGCCAGCCTGCCATGGTACTGGCATCACTGCCGCCCTGAGTCCCCCATGTCCCTCCGATTTCTGTGTGCATCCGATAAATAGTGGCCAGCTCGGGGTGACTTTGGATCTGCCCGCTCTGGCATTGACCTCCCGGCCCGCCACGTACTTTGAAAGTGCATCTCTTTGTCTCATTTTATCCCTCCCCGTGCCCCTCTCCAGGCAGACTGGAGAACTGAACGGCCTCCAGTACACTTCCAGAAGGAAAATTAAATGAATTGAAGAAGCTGTTTGAATTGCAATTCCACCACCATGGGCCCAGCCATTGGTTCTGCTGATTCTTATGTGCTTGGCAGTTGTTGATCTCTCTGTCATCTATCCATTCATCCATCCACACATCCATTATTTATTCACCCACCCACCCATCCACCCAGCCATCCATCCACCTAGCCACCCATCCATCCATCCATCCACCCATGTAACTACCCACCCGTCCGTCCACCCAGTCACCCGGTCACCCATCCACCCACCCATCAACCCATCCATCCATCCATCCGTCCATCCATTCACCCATCCATCCACCCATCCATCCATCCATCCGTCCATCCATCCACCCATCTACCCATCCATCCACCCATCCACCCATCCATCCATCCATCTACCCATCCATCCATCCATCCATCTACCCACCCATCTGTCCACCTACCTATGCATCCAAACATCCATTTATTCACCCATTCATTCTTCCACCCATCCATCCTTCTACCCATCCATCCTTCCATCCATCCACCATCTCTCATGTATGGATGAGACTACAAGTTTCCAGTCCTATATCCTTCCTCCTCTTTCCATAGGAAGGGACCTTGGTTTTATTGATGATGACAGTGTGCCCATTAAAAGACGCTTTCTCAGGCCAGGGATTTAGCTCAGTGGTTCAGCCACCTGCCATGCAAGCACAAGGTCCTGAGTTCGATTCCTGGTACCAAAAATTTTTTTTAAAAATTGAAAAAGACTCTCAGTATCCCTTCAAGCTACTTTTGACCAGAAAATTTAAGTTCTAGTCAATAAAATAAAGGTAAACAAAAGCTATTGGGTAAAAGATCTGAAAAGTTTCTTTAAAAGGAGATAGAGATAACCAACAAAAGTCACTTCTAGGCTTCTCAGCTTCATTCTTTGCCCATCTGGAATAGTGGTGCAATGGCTGGAGTCCCAGCAGCTGCTCTGGAGCAGGAGGTTACCTAAGGAATAGAAGCCACACACTTCGTGATAGCAGAGTATGTACAGCAAAGGAGTCAGGGTGGCTGCTGGCATTGCAGAGCACCTATACCTAAACCAGACTGATCCTCTCCTGACTTCTTGAATGGAGCAGAGAGGTGAGCTTCCATTCTACCCTTCTGTAGATTCAAGTTTGTTTCAGTCTCATGTAAATTACTGGTCTCCATTTCCAAAGGTTGAGCCAAATTTATAGTGGAAACTTACTGTCAGGTTTTCCTGGGAAGCCAAAGCAGTGAAGAGCTATCTTAGTTCCACAAGTGATGCCTGCTGTGCCAGTGTTCAAGAGATGTTTGCTTAATCAGTGGAAGAGTGGATGGGGGTGGACTGGTGGGTTGGTGGGTGAATGTATGGATGGATGGATGGGTGGATGCATGGGTGGGTGAGTGGATTGGTGGGTGGGTGGATGGATAGTTGGATGGATGGGTGGACTGGTGGGTGGGTG